GGCAGCTGATAAAATATAAAACGAATGGGCTTGAGAAAAAGGGATGAGTAGGGAGGGGTATGAATGAACTAAGGAGTGTGGTGCTCGGAGTGGGAGTGCTGATATGTAAAGGGGATTTTATGGCTAGGCACGGTGAGGGCTAAAGGATCAGAAAGCGTCCTTGATGAGGCCTCAACTTCTGGTGTCATTGTCCCAAGTGTGCAAGCGACACTGTGCACAGTGCTCCATGCTGGCGTTTTATTTATCGCTACTGACACACACACTAGCGTACGTTCTGTTATTCGAGTGTGACATATATTTAAACATTCTTAAAACATAGGAGAAAAACACTAATCTTATGTAACTGATCCCGTTAGTAAGCGGTGCCATCCATTAAGCTATGGGGCGATTACTCGTTCTTCTGGCACGTTAGTTGCACAAAGATCGAGCTCATTTCACACTCTCAAGGTCTTTACTCAAAAATGAGAAAAGTTGTTACTTTAAAAACGTATACTGCTGTTTTCTAAACTAAATTTGTACAATATGTTTTTAGATCTTTCAACCATTTCGACTCGCAAAGGAAAGGAAGGCGTGCCATGAACTAGCGTGAAAATAACCAGCTTGTGTTCCGCATGCTTATTGTAGACACATTAACATCCTCACAATTAAGTTGTCTCAGCATGCTTAAGGATCGGTCCTCACACTACACGCTCACCACGGAACTCCTCTCGATTCTGCAGAATATAACCAGATTATGGCCTACGGCTAGTCTAGCAAAGAGGGACTTGATCAGTCCAAATCAAGTAGTGTGGTTGTTTTTCTGGATTAATTCTTGGAACACTCACAGAGAAGGATATTCGGGGAAAGTTTATATCCGGCTTTATAACAATAATAATTTGGAACACCTGTGGCAATTTCCTCCCTTGCACTTTAATCGTTATTCTTTATCCCTATTGAGCATTAGCTTGCTGCGAACGGCCATTTTGACAAGTTGACTAAGCCTATTGCTCACTGATACACTAGCTAGTTACCATGGACGTTTCGCCTTGGTGATGAAAGGTGGGGAAAGGAGGAGGATGTGTGTGTGGGGGTGGGGG